ACCTTGCGCCCCTACCCCTGGTTTTTTTAGCCCCTCCCATTTGATCCACCTCTCTTACCTGAGGCTCTGCTTTCCTAGCTGGTGCTTTTTTTTTTTTTTTCCTGCCTCACATCGTTCCCAGGTAGGCTTCCAAACTGGGGGCAGGGCCAACTGTGTCAGGGTCAGAAACGGGAGGCCCAAGATAAGCCACTGTCCATTTGGAGCCCACTTTCCAGGGTTGGGATGTGTTCAACCCTGTCCTCCTGACAAGACCAAGCCCACTGGTGCCCTGGGCCTTGCTGGCATGGGTTGGCATGAAGCAGTGCACACCACCGACCTGCCTGTCCAGATGTATTTGTGTGTGCGCACAATGTGATGCCAGAGGAGCAAGTCAGCAGCCCCCTGGGGGGATGTTTAGATCTTAGTATGTTTGTCTTAGTCTCTCAGGGATGTCAGTATCATGTAGAGGGGCATTTCTCCCCCACCCACCTGCCTTGGCATCTATCCAGGTCATTCAAAGAAAACAGACAGTAACCAAAAGAAATAAGATGGTAGGCATTTAAAAGCTATTCTTATTTTTTCCTCCCATTCTTTAATTGCAAGACTTCCCTAAGATAGAAGTTGAATACCTACTATTCATTGGGTTTTATACTTCACTACCTCCCAACTATTGCAATACTGTTTCCTCTCTTTGTTTAGCCAAATTATTACCAGAAATCTCAACTCCCTCTCCTTTTCTCACTCTTCCAATAGTTCGTCCTTTTCTAGGTCTGACTTACAGTCTTCATCCTATTCTTGTAAAATTATGGTAGTCATGTTTGTTTTGCAGATAAGGGATGAAGTTCAGAGATGCAATGTTCTTGATCTAGTAGGTGAGGGAGCAATTTTTTAGCCTCCATTTATCTTTCTCCATGGTCCACGGCAGTTCATTGACTCAACAGACATTCAGGGCATCCTTGTGCCTGGGATGTAATAGCTGCTAGAGAACACGCCATGGCCTTTACTCAAGGACTCTGCAATACAGTAGCAGGGGTGGAGGAGACAGGGAATATATTTAAAAATCAGAAATGGCATCATTGCATGAGAGCCCAGGGAAGTGACTGGATACAGAGCAAGTGAATTCTGATCTGAGTGCTATGGAATAGGTGAAGGCTGGCCAGTTAAACTGGAAGAGGAAGGGACTTCTGGTAGAGGGCTAAACATGAGGACATGAGAAAGAACATATGAGAACTGCTACTCCTCTGCCTCGCCCTGGAGGTGAGTGTCAGGTGGATGATGGGAAATCTTCTAGTCGGTGCACCAGGTGAGGCATCATAGCCTCATCTTAAAACAGGAGGGAGCAGCTAAAGTCTGGGCAAGAAAGAAATGCAGCCACAAAAGTTCAAAATGAGCTGGCAGGAATGTGGAGAGGGTGTGAGAGTGTGAATGTACATGTGACTGTGCGTGAGTGCATGTGTGTCTGTATGTCTACATGTGTGTTTCTGTATGTGTTTGAGTGTTTATGTATGAGTGTGTACAGGTGTCTAAGAGTGTATGTGTGAGTCAGTGTGAGTGTGCAAGTATGTGCAAATGTGAGTGAATGTGTGTGAATACTGAAGTTATGAAAATCTGATAAAAAACTTTTCCAGCTGATGAAAGAAAAAGTGCTGAGGATCTGGATCAAGGTGACAGCAGGAAGGCTGGTGAGCAGGCAGCAGATATGATAAATAATTGTGTTAGACAATAGGCCAGACTCAGACAAATTAATTGTTAGGGGAGTGAGAAAAGGGAGGAGCTGGGGACAAAACGATGAGGTTTCTAGTTTGATAACATGGGTGAATGATGGTAGCATGAAGTCAGACAAGGACTGGGAGAGAATAGGAGGCCCCTTGGGGACACGTTGGTTGAGAACCATGTGGAGGCTGGGAACGGCTGCTGCTATCTTTTGAGAATGAGGTGAGGGAGGGTACAGTTGAGGCAGAGGTCAGGAGAAAAAGAAACATCCCAAGACACAGTCAGGACCCACGCTGCTGTTCTTGGCCTGTGAGGGAAGATCAGATTGCAGAAGCCCCAGCTCCGTCTGCAAAGCTGTCTGCACTCCCAGTCCTCTTGTCATGTCGATGCCCCTCTCTGCTTGTCATGAGTCAGGCGCTGACAGCCTCAATGGTGCCGGCGATTTATCAGTGAATGGAAAAAGATAATTGACCATCATCTCACTGCACCTCACCTCGCCTCAGCTGATAGAGAGAAATTTAACTGCTTCATTCCACTATAATTTCATATAATTCTCTCTCTTTTTCTCCCTCGTTGTTACTTGGAAGTTTACAAAAGTGATTAATGATTTGCTATCAAATATAAAAAAAGAAGCTCAAATATCATTGGACAGTTTAACAGCCTTGAAAATATAATGGTCTCTCTGGCTGGACATCCACAGTAGCCATCGAAGCTCAGAAGGTCAAGCTTTAATGAACTGGTGTGAATTAGAGGAGGAAAGGGAAAGTGATCAATGCTTGGAGCTGGCTCCACAGTCTACTGACCTTGGGGGAAGAAGAACCATTATATTTATGGAATCTCTCTGGGAATGTTCATGGGGCTGTCGGGAGGCCTTGGGGAGCTTGGCGGATTGGCCTGTGATGAGGAGTCAAGGGTCCTGGGTCACAGTAGAGGAGCCTACTTGTTCATAGCTTGATCCTTATTGAGATCCATACTATAACTCAGGCTAGCTCTGAGGTCCAGGCCTCCTTAATAAGACTCCCTCCTACCTTATGCCTCAGGAAAGCCTGCCTTTGATGCTGTCCAGAGAACCCAAATGCTCCTCTTGGCGCCAATTTTGGTACCTGGGACCTTCTGACTTGCTTGCATTCCTTTTGTTTCATCATTGGAAGGGGAGACTGACTTTGCACCTTCGATGTACACAGGCCTCTGAACTCGTGGGCATATACCATGACAGGTGGAGAAAAGGAGGGCAATTATCTGTATGTCATCTTCACACTCTGCGTTCTTCCAGGCATTAACCTACACACTGTCTCATGTGGCTTTTCCTCTAGCCCTAGAGGTAGATATTATAGAGTTATCATGCTACAATGGCTCCCAGTCACCCCTGCCTCCTGGTACTCGTGCTCTGTGTAATCCCCTTCCCTAGAACGTGGGTGGGACCGGTGACCTGTTTCTAATGAACTGTATGGCAAAAACGTTGGGATGTTACTTCCGAGGTCAGGTTATAAAAAGACTGTAGCTTCTTGTCAGCTTAAGCCTACCACCACAGGGTAAGCTGCTGACAAAAAGCCCTATGCAGCGAGAGACTGAGGGAGGCCTCCAGCCCGTGACACAGGAGGAACTGAGTGCCGCCAGCAACCATTGTGAGTGAGCTCCGTGGAGCCTGGAGAGGAGACTGCAGCCCTTGGTGACACCTGAACCGAAGACTCAGCTGAGATACATCTGGGTTCCTGCCCCACAGAAACCAAAGATAATGTATGTATGTTGATTTAAGCTATGAAGTTTTGGAGTACTTCGTTATTCAACAATAGATAAATAATTCAGAATGGTTAAATAAAGTATGCAAATCAGTTAATAAGTGGCAGAGTCTAGACTCTAAGTTGAGACTGCTTGATTTCAAAGTATCATGATGTTTCATGGTACTAAACTGATTAAAAAAAAATTAGATTGACATGTGCCATACGCCTGGCGCTCCACGTCTATCAGGCAGTATGATCCTGAGATGTGCAGAGGGCCAGGGTCTGTAGAAAACCATGTGCTCTCTCCTCACTCAGCTGGTGGACCTGCCCCTGGAACTGTGGGATGGAGGTTTGTGACTGCCCATTCCCTGAAAGCTCTTTCCCATTAGACAGATCACATTTAGGAATGTCGTCCCACAAGCACTCCCTTTAATTTAAACATCTTTGCTTTTAATTTTTGGTACCTTCCAGAAGGACAGAGAAAAATAAGACTAGTTTCCTGAAGTGTAATTGTTTCAGGCAGTTATTTATTAGTGAAAAGGAACAACATGTCCACAGGCCTGAGTTCTGCTGTAGAACTAATGTTAGCCAAGGCGTGTGTTATAGGAAAGGTACTCTTGCTGTCAACCTGCATTTATCCAGCTCCATAACCACCTATTAATTGTTGTCCAGGCCCTGGCTGGGGGACAGGTTTCATTTCCTCCCCACTGAGGGTCTGAACTCCAAGGGACAGGAGAAGCACAGCTCTGATATGGTCCTCTTCAGGAGTTACATGGGTCTTGGAGCTTTATCCAAGATTTTGACAATTTACTCTCTGCTTGGGTCCCAGAGTGGGGAAGGAATGAGGACCCTTTGTTGAAGGTGCAATATATAGCTTTGACCTGAGTTGTCACTGAGTTGTGTGAACATGTTGTATTTGGAGTCATTGAGGTTATAGGGCCTTGCTTTAAGTGAGTTTGTATATAAAAAAGGGGGAATTACACTACGTATCTCACAGAGTAGAGAGATCAAATGTGGTAATGTATGTGGAAACTTGTATAACGTAAACCACTCTGCAAATGGTGTGTGTGTGTGTATGTGTGTGTTTCTGTGAATTTGGTCACTTCGGGGTTAGACCCAAGCAGGGGATCCAAAGAAATAAAGTGTTTTATCCAAAGGACCCACTGGACTAGAAATTGAAAGAGGTGTGTCAGAGGTGCTTTCAACTGCAATGAACAGAATTCCTGCCTAATAATAGTTTAAACCCATAAAGGTGTTAGTGATTCTCCAACTGGGATGGCTCCATAGCTGTGTGCTATCACCAAGGAGTCAGGCATCCCCCTACTTCGGAATGTTGGCTTCTCACCCTCATGGTCATCACCTCATCATCATAGGATGGCTACTCACCCCTCATTCCAGACAGTAAATAAAGAAGGGGTATCATAAGCTGTATCTGTTCATTTTCTCTTGGAAAGCAAAACTTCTTTTTTCTCCCCAGAAGTCCCTGAGTAAAATTACACCATTGTTCAGAATTGGTCATATGGCTATTCAAATTGTATGGAGACCTGAGAAAGTAAGCCTATGTCTCCCCACTACAACCACACCATTATGGGTAGCAGGAAGCAAGCAAGAGCGAAATGAGGTAGAAATAGCCAAATTAACTAAGCGATAAGGTCTTCCATAGGGCACCGGAAACACATGGTTTTTTTGGAATTGAACTTGGAGACAATCTGACTTACCCCCATAACAAGAGAGGTGAGGCCCAGAGAGCTTAATAGCTTGTCCTAAGCCACATATTAAGTAGGCTGTCCCTACTCTGCGAGGAGGGGTATAAGTGGTTTATTTCTGTGTATCACATACCAGGCTTGACTCTTGATATGTGAGGAAATGTTATGCAGAGAATGCCCAGAAACATAGGATTTCTGACCTTGTCTGTATTTCCTTTCTAAATAGTTATGTCGTTTTCTAGAGCACAGAGGTAAATTAAGTTACATAGATAAAAGCAGAAATGGAGAGTGCTGGCCTCTTAGGATTGTGTGTTTTGTGGTCAGGAAAAAAATAGGGAGAGCAAGCTTATTGGAGACCAAAAATCCATGTATATTTTCATTACACGGTCATGAAACATCAGCATAATGAGAAGGAGCTGAGGGAAATGAGAAGGCTGGGAGGGTGGTGGGTGTCAGTTCAGACCCAGCAGTAAATATTTGGTGAGTGCCCAGGTTTTGCCCAGTACCAAGGTAGGTCCTGTGGTGGATATGAGATAAGTGCAATTCAATTCAATTGTACTTGACCCAACAAACATGTATTGAGTGTGCTTGTCCCAGGCATGATAAATATGGAAAAAATAAATGATGTTTTCTCTCCAAGTACTCCCAAGTAGAATAAACAAGATGAGCATCTCACTAAAACACTCTAAAATACTTACTGTACTCGTACTTGAATAAAAGGCAGTAGAAGCTCAGTGGAGCCTGCCTGCCAGAGGGACGCTTTTAAATGATGATTCCAGACTCCAACAGAACAGAGACAAGATTTACCTTGTGATGCTGTCAAACTCTCTAGGATGAGGAAACAATCGACTGGAGAATCCAGTATGGTAAATGTGGCAAAATACGATTAATATTAGAGTAGTTAAAAGGAGAAAATTCAACAAGGACTGGACTTCATTGGAGGAAACTTCTTGGAACTGGGGACCTTGAACTGGGACTTAAAAGATGGTATTTGAAAGAAGAATACAATACAGGGTCAGGGGGAGGTAAAGGGTTGGTGAAAATTGAGCAACGATATAGAGGTGGGAACATGCATGACGTATTATATGTGGAAGCCTGGCTGGGAGCATGGAGGGCCAATAGGCAAGCCTTTTTATATTTCTCTTTAAGATCCTAGGCACTGAGTTCCAAAAGATTCTCTTCCTTTTTAAAAACAAAAAATTAAAATCTATTAATTAATTTATTGTTTTAGTTTTGCTATAGGGTACATGCTTTTGCAAGAGAAAGAGGGGAGAGGGGGAGTGAAAATCACCCCCTAGGTGGATGGCTGTGCTGCAGTCCTTTCTCTATTCTTCTCGAGATTTGGAGCACACACGCACACACACCCAGCGTGGTTTCAAGTTGTTGAGTCTGGGATGCTTGTGCAGTCAGCCATGTCAGAACCAGCCACTTTAAGCTTCATGCCACCTGCTGGCCCCTAAACGATTTTCTTATAAGGTCCTAATGTGAGGCATTCCTCTTGCCCTTTGAGTAAAGAAGCCCATACTTTGTGCTCATTTCTAAGAAAGAGGAAGAGTGGTCAGAGGGTTGACTCCTGGAGGTAACTGACTACTGTCATTCTTTAACCCTGGTCTCAAGTCTGGAAAAGTACGCACACATTGCTTCTTATCTCTTCCCCACCTCCAAAAAGATGGATTGAGGAAAAAAAACAAAAAACAGGGTTAAGAATTTTGCCCAGCATAGAAGAATGCTTTTGTCATTCTAGGTGGTAGTCCACCTCTAAAGAATTGCTCAACATGGGACCAGCAGGTGGCATGGTGGCTAAGGGGCTGGACTCCCACATGGCTGACTGCAGTTTGATTTCTGGACATAGTAGCTTAAAAATCACACCAGGTGTGTGATTTATGCATGCATGCCCAAAATCCCAGGAAGAGAATAGAGGAGAAGGAAATGCGGTGTGGCCATCGCCCCTGCAGCATGATTTTTCACTTTCCCTCTCTCTGTCTCTCTCTGGCACATGCACAAGCCCTATGACAAAAACCTTAAAAAAAAAATTGTTCTACATTTGATGTTTATATCCTCCTCCATGCTATCTCTAGATTTCTTTCTTCAGAACATCTCAAGGTACTGAACTCCCGAAAAGTTCCAGATAAAGATGCACAATGCTAAGGAATCAATAACATTTACTGAGTGCTTACTAAACCCAAGCGCTGCTATTAACGCTTTGCTTTTGCTTTTAACTCACTTAACAGGGAGAAGGCCTCATGGTCATGACTGTTGAGCCCCCACTGACTGCAAAATGGAAATAGTGAGCTGAGAAAATTCAAAAAGTTGCCTGTGTAAACACAGTTTTTTATAATGGTCAGAAGAGACATGACTATTGGGTCCATTTTAATTACTTTAGCCATTCTGCCCAACCTTCCCTGCCCCGCGATCATTTCAGCAATTTTTTGCATAGCAGCCAAGTTTTCCTGTCCCCACTAACTCTGTGTGGTCTGCAGCATGATAAACCATCACTCACACCCATTTCCTGGAAAGCTCCTCTTTGGGCAAGTGGCACTGCTCGTTGAGTTTCTGAGCTTTTTATTGGGGTCTCAGTAGGTTCCAGGGAAGACGCCCAACAAAAAGTGCAGAGCTCTCCAGAACGACGTCTGATTGTCACGATGGCATGTTGGAAAATTGATAACTTTACTCTGCCTAAAGAGAAACCTCTGCCTGTCGCCACCAATCATGCAAAGTAGACTCTTAAAATGAGATTAGGCCGAAACATGACCAATCAAAGCTGGAGTCTCGATTGCTCTATGACTTCATTTGAAGTTCTAGTGCCAGCAGGAAGAAAAAAAAGAATCAATAGTACATTTTCTTCATCATCAATTTTGCTTTTTGCTAAATGAAAATGCTTGTCTCCCTCCCTTGTTCCCTCTAAACACTGAAGATGTAACCCCCTCCCCCCCACTCCCACCCATATCCCATCCTGTGGTGACAGTTGAACTCATGCAAAGAGCTGTATGGAGGACAGAGCTGTGAGTATGTGGGTACTAAGCACTTAAAGCTGCTGCAGAGAGGTCCTCTTCATTAACCAAGTATCTGTGCGCCCAACAGTGCTTGCCCAGCAGGCTTTCTTGCTGCAGACCCCAGGCCCGAAGCGTGGTCTGCTCTGTGGAAAGGTCGGCTGCTCCATCTTGTAGATGGAAAGTCCAGAGTGTGCTTCTTCCAAACAGTTCTTGAGGCCCCAGGGCACGTGCTAACTCAAGGCCCTGTGCCAGGCTCTATCACCAGGCCTTATAGAAGGGAATGTGATAAGGGAGGTGGGCTCGTTGTGGACTCAATTATGGACTTTGGTTACAGCAGAAGCAAAGGGACCTCATTATAAGATGTTCTCATCTGTGCAGTTCCAGAACTGAAAGGGTTTGCTGAACAATGGAGAGGACTCACTTCCAAAGCAAGCCTTCAGTAGTGACCTTTAAGAGCCCCCAGTGAGCTGCGGTTTATATTGGCTCCAAGATGGTCCCAATCCAGGACTTGACTCACTTGACAATATTTGGTAAGAAAGAAAGGACAATTTTCAATAGAGGAAGGAAAATAAAAATAGTTCTGGGGGCTAGAAACTCATTTCCTGAGGAGCAAGAGCACACCGCCTTGCTCTCTGGGACTTACTGAGCTGCAGGAAACTCGACCAGTCACTTAATAAGTCATTGAGGACGTGTGGTTTAATTAACTCGCCCAAAATTCCTCCTTTCCCTTTCTCACTTTTGCTATTAATATTTTTCGATATCTGATAATGCAGTGTAGTTAATTCTTTCTGGCTTTATAATGAACACTGCCATAATGAAAAAGGTTAGCAGTGCTTCAGGCAGCTTTTAATTATCCAGCCGAGCAGGTAAAAGCACTTTATTCTTCTCTTTTTTTCCCCTTACTTAGCAATTAATGGAGGAGCTCAGTGGCACTTACTGTACCTTTTTTGTTTTCTAATGGATGATGCTGCATGGAGCAGGGAGGACTTACTGTACCCCGGTTACTACCAGGTGAAATCGTTGGAGGTTGCAACACCGCGCTTCAGGCCTCTGGCTTGTAGAGTGAAAGCGCTTCTGCAGATACTAAAGGTTTATTTAATTAAAAAGCTGAGGAACCTAAGGTTGTTGTTACCAATTCCCTGTCTTGCATTTTTCTGCCTTTGCATCTGCATCCAGAGACCCTCTTCCCCAAAATGTTTTTATGGGCCAGCTGGTCTTGTTTTACTGCAGATATTTTCCTGGTTCCGTTTAATTGGACCATCTCCCTTCTGTTCCCCATGCTAACAGAAGCCTTGGGGTTGTTCTGTTTATAGACAGAGAAACTGAGGCCCAGAGAGGTGGTCTGCCTGGCCGAAAGCCCTTTCTTTTTTCTTTTTTTTTTGGAGAGGTTTTTGCTATAGGGTGCGTGCACTAGCCAGAAAGACAGAGAGAAAGAAAGCAAAAATCACCCTCCCGGGGGAATGGCCACACCACACTCCCTTCTCCTCCATTCTCCTCTCAGGATCTTGGGCATGCATGCACACATGCCCAGCATGAGTTTAAGCCACTGGGCCTGGGACTTGAACTGTGGTCTGGTACATAGGAGTCCAGAGACATAGCCTTATGCCAGCTGCTGGTCCTAAACCCTTTCTTTTTTGGTGATACCATCTCTGGAAAGGAAGAGTGGCATCCTAGGGTTAATTGTTGTACTACCTTACAGAGAGAAGCTAGATGAGGGAAGAGTTTGAAAATTATGTGAGCCACTTTGAAGTCAATCAATCAAATCACAGAGAAAAGATTTTTATCATGAGTGGAATTATTAGCATGGTTCCTCTTCACTATGTACATATAACACAAAACATTGTTCTGCAGTGTGCAATACATTTTTTTTTTTTTTGGTATATAAATTTGATAAAAGTTGACTTTTGGGCCAGCCTGGTGGGTGGCATGGTGATTAAGGCAGCTGGATCTCACATGGCTTACTGTGCAGTTTGAGTCCCTACCAGATGGCTTGAAAAAAATGCAGGGCACATATGTGTGTGTGCCTGAAACACCAAAAGAGGAGAGTGAGAGAGATGAAGAAGTGATTGCAATCTGTGTAGATCTCTGGCCAATTGTTATGAGAGCCCAGGGTCTCCTGAGAAAGAGTTAAAGACAACAAGCTCTCTAAGATTCAAAGTTGGGAATGGTCCCAATGTGTATGGAATGGTCCTCTGCAAAGTCTACCTGGAGGAAAAGATGCCGAAAGCTTAAGATGGGTACCTACTAGACAAGAAGGCAGTCTGGGTGAGTGATCTTGGTGTGACTCCAAGCTTCTGGGCTCCCAGTACAGTCAGTCGATATACTGGTCCAGTGATACATACTGGGAACGATGCCCAGGCAAATAAGAATGATATCAAAGAGATCACTATTAGTGCAGGAGCCCTTTATTTTAGAGAGATTATTGCCATAGGGTGTATGTGTTGCTAGAGAGACAGAGAGAGACAGAAAGCTAAAATTCATCCCCCAGGGGAGATGGCCATGCCATAATCCTTTCTCCTCCATCTCAGGATCTGAGGCACACATGCACATGTGCCCATTGTGAGTTTTAAGCTGCTGGGTCTGAGATTTGAACTGCGGGCAACTCTGTGGGAGTCCACAGAGATAAGCATTATGCCATCTGCTGGTCCCAGAGCCCTTCTAAAGGTGGTTTATGATGTGACACTTGCCACTCAGAGGTACTCGTCTAAATTTCTCTGCCTTATAATATCTTCTCATTGGTACACTTCACTGAAAAGAGATAAAAGGAAACTTTTGTTGTATCATTTGTGTCTAACACTTGGCGCATTCTCTTCTTACCACATTCCAGGATGGAACCCTTTGGCTAGACACATGATCTCCTTAATGCCATTGTGGCAAGGAGACTTGAGCACCAAACTTAGCAGATTCTTGGTACACACTTTGAAGTTCTGGTTGCCTGTGGTCTCTGTACTGTGCTCTTAATTAAGTTGAGGTTAAAAGAACAACTCAACTTATTTTTATTTCCAGTGCAAACTTCAGTAGTAGTAACAGCACGGCCGGATATAGAAACTTGTCTGTATGAGAAGCAAGAGATGCTCAGGCCTGCAAATCTACCAGGGCCATCAACTGCCTGAGTTTCAAGGAGAATTCTAGAATATGAGCCTGCAGCCCAGTGCAGGTACTACTGTGACCTCATGTCCATGGGGCTGTGCAAGGCTGGTGCCCATTGGGGCCAGACAATGGAGCAGTGGTAATGCAATCAGACCTATGCAGGAAGGTCATGGGTTCATGTCCTGGGACTTCAATGTGTGCACGTGTGCCTGTGGTCTGAGATGGCTGTGGCTGGGGGTGAAGTGTGGCATGAAGACTGTGTTGGTGGTACTTGTTTATCTCTCTGTCTTTCATGGATAAACTTTAGAAAAAGAAAGGGAGAAAGAAAATAAGAATGGAAGGAGTGAGGGAAGGAGAAAGAGAGAAAAGCCTCATGTTCAGCTGTGACCCTGAGGCAGCCACCATACCTTCTGGAGCCTTCTGTGGCCTGAGTGTCTCGGAGTTTCTGGGACAATTTGAGAAGGGGCGGTAGCTCAAGGTTGATGTGCTAGATTTTCTGCTATGTATTCAAGTTGGTGAAGTCTGTCAAAACGGTTACTTTGTATTTGAAAATCACTTTGAAGTTTTTCAAAACAACAGCACATCTACTATCACAACTGACTCCACTAATGCTTTCAAGTGTCAGTCAGGAAAATGTTTTATTCTTCCCATTTTACAGAAGAAAAGGCCAAAGTAACAAGAGGTTACCTCCTTCTCTAAGGAAGGGTTCTCAGTTGGAGGCAGTTTTGTCTCTTAGGGGACACTTGATCATGTGTGGGGACATCTTTGTTGTTATAACTGAGGGATGTGAGTGCCACTGGCTTCTAGTGAGTAGAGGCAAGAATTGCTGCTAAATGTCCTACCATGTACAAAACGGCACCCTTCTCCCTCTTGACAAGGTGGCCTTGATGCAGAGGCCGAAGAATTCTGAGTAAGGACGTACAGCTAAGTGGAGGAAGAGTGAATGCTGTTTAGAATCAGCCTCTCCCACTTACAATGCCTACTTGTTAAATATCTGCTGAGCTCTTAGCACTGTTATAAGCACTTTACACCGACTCACTCAATCCTGGAAACAGCCCTATGATTTCCCT